CAATGGGGTGGTGGCTTTTACGATTAACGATTAAAATTTTAGCTTTTTTACGGCTAACGGTTATTTTTTTTCCGTTACAGTTAACAGAATTTTCAAAAAAATTAACTTCCATTTTTTGGGAGGCGCGGTGGCCTCATGGTTAGTGCGCTCGACTCCGGATCGAGCGGTCCGGGTTCGAGCCCTGGCCGGGGACATTGTGTTGTGTTCTTGGGCAAGACACTCAGCAGTGCCTCTCTCCACCCAGGTGTACAGATGTGTACTGGCGAACTTAATGCCTGGGGAAACCCTGCGATGGACTAGCATCCCATCCAGTGGGGAGTAGAAATACTCCTAGTCGCTTTCATGCTACAGAAACCGGGATAACTCCGGCCTGATGGGTCACTTAGACTCGTATGTAGACTTTACCCTTTTAACTTCCATTTTTAGAAAAAAAAATTCCATTGTTGAAGAACATATTTAAGTTCTTGGTACCATTCTAGTATAAAAGCTAACCTATTTTATTTAAAGAAAACTGCGAAAATATTGCCTCGCGGAAATCGTCAGAAACGTTGAGTTCATGGTAGAGGGGGCTTAAAATCAAGGTGGGATGCGAGATACGAGAAATTTTAGTGCGGGGTACAGATGTAAATTATCTTGGTGGGATTGAGATACGTTCCTTTTTGTTGGCGGGAAGTGGGTTGTTTTGAAACTGAAGAGGAATGCGACATCAAAAACGGAAAGTATCGCCGCCTCAGTTAACAAGATCTTTGTTCATGGACGAACTCTTACAGTGACGACGGTGGAGTTTCTACTAAATATATTTTGGCACGCATATGTAACTGCACCAAATACAGCAAGTTGTACGAATCTTGACTATGCCATAGTGTAGTATGATTTGTCCATTTACGGTGATGAACGGCGGAGAGTCTGAAAACAGCTTGCCTTTTGCAAGCAAATTTACTAAGATCAGAACTGCTTTCCAATAAAATGAACTTTACCACTGGTATTTGCCTTTGTAATATTGACGTTTCAGCCATCTATTTATAGTTTTTTCACCCGAGTTTTGATCAACGATGAGATCAAAAGTTGTTAAAACACTTCTATAAAATAAAATTAGCGGTGTGGGTGAATCGGCGATCGGCCGCCAAGTTGGTGTATTTCACTGAGTCCGTTTTCACTTGGTATGCACAGTATCACAATGATCTTCCTTGATTTAGAACAAGTGCTTTCTTTCGTGTTCAATTTACCGCCAAAAACAGCGCAATGAACACTGGGTATAAATCATGGGGTTATTGTTACTGATGTATTATTTTCCACTGTTTTGATTTCTTTTTTCAGTGAAGTAAAAATTGGCCTTATCGAAGCTAAGAAAGCAGGTCGAGTGAGTGACTCTCCGGTGAGGGACATCGCCCAAATAAACTCTTTGTATTTCCATGAGGCCTTAAAAACAATTAGTTTTCTTATTGTTCAATATTCCTACCTTTTCCTTGCAACCTGATCGCGATGATACTTTCTT